TTTATTTTGGCCGTATTTCCCTCGGAGACATACGAGACTGCCCGTTTTCTCGCCGACTCGTGTTTGCATTAGCCGTAGCTCGCGGGCCAGATCCGCAGATACAATTGTCGTTGGAGCGCATACGTCAATAAGCGCGCGGATTAAATGCAAGCGCCCTCCCGCCTCAATTTTGACCACGGCCGTCGGAGGAATAGCTACCATCGGGCGGAAGGTTGGCCCTACAATGGGGTTTTTCGCCGATAACCCATTACGGAACGCGCTTGGTCGTGATAGCTGGCAAGGCCTAGTCGCCAGTCTATCTTCATATGCGGATGGCGATGGGTTGCGCGAAGATCGCTGCAGGCGAAAAGACCGAGTTTCCGCTCTGCAGTCTCGGTGGCGTCGCTGGTGCGATCGCTGTCGTTGGTGTGGTCGCTGTCGCTTGTGCGGTCGTTGGCGCTTATGCGGTCGTTGGTGATCGCGCTCGTGTTGGAGTAAAGGTCGGAAAGACCTAGTTTCCGGTACCCTTGCAGTAGTCAGGTGGAGAGGCCGAGTCTCCACTCCGAACTCTATAATCTCGCCCTCTTCAATATCTGGACGGAGAGGCCTGGTCTCCGTTCCAGAATCAGACGCGTATAGCGAGATCGCCGCCTCATAGCTATTGCGCTCTTCTTCTTCGACTTGGACGCTCCAAGGCTTTTGTGCTTCGTCTGCGGGTCGTCGAGCTTCACCGAGGTGAAGCGTAGTGTGGTGCTTCTCACCGCATCGACGGCATCGTCCTTCGCTGGCACATCGTTCGGTTGCGTGATCTGTGGCTAAACAATTTCCACAGTATCGACCAAGTAGCGCTTCTCTTAACCTTTCTTCAGGTGTTTTCGCGCGAAAAACCGGGCATAGCCTAATTGGGTGATTTGCGTCACATAAGTGGCACGGCACGACGAAGCGATGGGCATTCTTTGCGGCGTTTCGCTTTACTGCACTGAAGCGGGTCATGGTTGTCTGAAATACGCTTTTTTTTTATTTAGGTGCCTCAGTTAAGTTATATTTTTTTTTTTTGTACGTTGTTGTTGGGTAGCGAGCGATTAAATATATAAAAGTAAAACGGATCGGCGAGAAAGTTTCGTTTTCCTTTTGCAAATCTTAAATTTTACGATCTAAGCAGGGCGTTCTTGGGCATATCGAAATTGTAAACTGGCACGTGTAAACGCAGAATTACCCATGTATTGTGGTTGATGGGTCACACCGGTGCTATATATTTTCCTATGCAGGGTTGTACCGGAAGACAAAAAAATAAATGTCGCCCTGACATTATGACAATTCTAACAAATTTCAAAGGCAACATGAGAAAGTGTCAAACTGAGGGCATTCGCAAGAAATTTGTTTTTGTTCAGCTGATTTGTTATTTTTTTTTTCCCAATTGATGGCTTAAATTCTGCCAATGTAAAACAAAACTTTCTTTGTACTTTGGAGACTTTTGTTTAGCCAAGATCGACACCCAACAGCCTGGGGGCCGAAAAAAAAAAGTTGAGGTGCCACTGTATGTTACCATTGCCAAAAACAGGGTAGCTCATATCCCAAAAAATTGCAAGTGTAATATAAAATTTTTGGTAAAATTCTTATGTACCAGCCAATTTGTTTTGCGCAAAAGTAAGTAGAGTATCTAGAGGCAAAATTAGTGCATACGTATTTGAATCCGACATGGCAAAAAGAAGACAAAAAATATTTGCAACGATAGCCTTCTTAATGGCTGACGACTAAGTGCGATAATTTAACCGACCTACTACGTGCACCTGGTGGCATTTATTTAAGTGTGGTTACTTCTGTCTACAAGTGGCAATTAATGAAATTTATTTTTATGAATGATTTCATTACAAGCATGTGAAAAAAAATTATTTCTCCACAAACGAGAAATAGATGGCGCCGCTGGAAGTTATGTAGTAGCGGCTTTATGCGGAGACTTAAGTTGACATTTCTACTCCGCGGCTCACATTACGATTTCCTGAATGAAAAAAAAAAATCATTCAATCGATGGCCACATGGAGTAAACCAGTAAATGGGTGGGTATGTCTTTTATTTCTTATCATTTCATTTGCAAAATGTCAAATTCTTAATAAAATTTGCAGCCAAATTTTGCAAAATTACTTGAGCGGCGTGCAGCGCGCCTGGTCTGTGGCGGATGGTGAGACGATGGCATCTTTTATTTCACTCAAAGACAAGCATATAATGAATCGTAATTTATATGTGGAGTGTCCAGAGAATGCCGTGGAACGTATGCTGGATCCGCCCATTGATGAGATTGTTTGTGCGCATCCGAAAGTACTCTATTACTTGGGCTTGGAAACTCGCGATTTTATGCAAGCTTATCGCCAACAATCACAATGCATACAATCTGTTGTGAAAATGTTGCAACAGTTGAAGGAGGAGAACTGGTGTCTTCCCATAATGTACCCAACCTGCTTGGATTTGCGAATATTAGCGCAAAAATGCGAAGAACTTGGCAGCAGCAGCAAGCCGGGGGAAATTCTTGAGAAGGCCGCAGACTGCTTAATGAGCTGTTTCCGTGTATGTGCCGCAGATAATAGATCCTCGGATGACGACACTAAACGCCTTGGCATGCTCAACCTTGTTAATCAGCTATTCAAAGTCTACTTCCGCTTAGCTGTTTGCGGTTTGTATGAGCGCCTCTCGACCATATGAAACTTTCGCCACGCTTAAAAAGTAGAATCTCACTATTTTGAAGGCATCCCCCACACTTGCTAGGTTCTCTGAACTGCTATCTAGTTTCTCAGTAAGTATACTCTTCAACCATATTTCAGCTGAAGGCCTAAACAGGACTATTTCTGGATTTTTAACTTTTTGATATTTTCTTCCCCAACTTTGACTATCTCGGGTGAAAAAAAATGTACTGAGCTATAACTTTACATTACATAAAAAAATTGCTCATTTAATAAAGATTTCACTTACTGTTTTGAGTAGAAAAAAAAGTTATAGCCGCTTTTGTGGGGTAAAGGACTAAGACACGCTAGAATGTATTTAATAGATTTAAATTGAATTTGCTCTTGTTACCGTCAAATGACATTCTAAATAGTACAAAAGTACATAACACATTATTTTATGTTACTTACCGGAATTCGGACTAGAGTCTATATACAAGGGCTATATCTATCAATATTTTGTGTGAAGGATGGGTTCACGTGAAATAAGATATACATGAGTTGTTTGAAGAAAAATGTATACATTTATTGATAAAATATGCTCAAATTGGCGACCTTCTACTCTAATACATGCTCGGCACCTTTTAAGAAAAGACGCTTTTAGAGATCTTAAACTCAATTGGGCTATCTCAGCAGCAGCTCCATTTATTTGTTCCCGCAAATGCTCTTCGTTTTGAATTGTTTTTGAATAAATTTTGTCCTTAAGACAGCCCCAGTAGAAAAAATCTAATGGATTCAGGTCTGGCGATCGAGCGGGCCACGTGATTGGCCCGTATCGTCAAATCTATCGGCGAGGATAAGTTTCGTCTTAATGAGCTGTAAGAGCCCGTAGTGAGCAGGGCACCCGTCATTTTGCAGCCATAGTCTTCGCCGCAGGTTTAAGGGTACATCTTCCAAAAGAGTTGGAAGCCGTTCCTGAAGGAACTCTAAATAACTGGGAGAGTTGAGCGTTGGCGGCAGTTCCACAGGTCCCAATATCTGACAATTAAAAATACCGCTCCATAAATTTATTTTGTACCGGTACTGCGAACGATCTTGTCTCATTTCGTGAGGATTGTCTATCTGCCAACTGTGAAGGTTATGTAAATTAAAATAACCATCACGTTTGCATGATGATTCATCGCTCCAAATTATTTTATTAAAAAAGTTGGGGTCTGATTCATGCATTCGCAACATTTCACGGCAAAATCTAACTCTCGACAGGTAATCTCTTTCTTGTAGAGCCTGAACACGTTGAATGTGGTATGGATGAAATCGATGGTCTTGTAAAGCTTTGTGAACTGTAGTTTTTGGTATTCCCGTCCGTCTTTCCATCATTCTCACTGAAGTCGATGGGCCTAGTTCCACTTCCTTTAACACAGCTTCAACATCTACCGTTGCAGGACGTCATAAAAAATACATATAAATGCAAATATACATATAAATGCACATACATATGTGTCATAAATGTCATACATATAAATGTACATATGTATGTGTGGTGGGTCATATCTATATATGTTTACATACACAATATCACATCAATATACATACACTGCCGGAAAAAAGTATTGGCACAGCAAATTTTTCACAATCTATGCAACAACTTTCATTGTAATATTTTTCCGCTAATTTCGTACATTCATTCATTCCTAAACTTTGTGCAAAGCTCATGAAAATTCAGCAAATTTTCATGAAAATTTTCAACTTTTTAATCAGATTTTTTAGAATTTTTGCAGTTTTTCAGCCCATTAAATTCTAGTAAAAAAAATGCAAGTTCGGAGTTAGTAAAAAATCGCGTTGATATTTGAGATTTTTTTTGTGTTGAAGGTGTTTTGCATTTTTTCCATATTAAGTATTTTCGAAATAAAAAAGTTTGTATGGAAGACACTGCGTGAAAAAAATTTCCAAAAATCAACGGTAATTCCTAGCTACTTAAAACTTGCATTTGTTGTTATTTTAGAATTGATTGGGCTACAAATCTGCATACTCAAAAAAATTCTAAAAAACTGATTAAAAAGTTGAAAATTTTCTGAATTTTCGCGAGCTGTGCACAATTCACTTAATCATGTGGTTGTTGGTTTTTGCTAATAATTCTATTTTTAGAATGTTTAACTCTTTTTTAGGAGTGCTTTGCTGCAATTCACTTGATCATGTGGTTGTTGGTATTTGCTGTAATTCTATTTTTAGAATGTTTAACTTTTTTTTTAGGTGTGCTCGTCCTTAAGTTATTTGTTTTTGTTATTTTATGGCCTTATAACAATTATATAGTAAGTTTTTCATTAAAAACTGCCTCAAACTCATGAAAAATAGTTGAATATAATTGTTATAAGGCCATAAATAACAAAAACAAATAACTTAAGGACGAGCACACCTAAAAAAAAGTTAAACATTCTAAAAATAGAATTATTAGCAAAAACCAACAAAACCAACATGATCAAGTGAATTGCAGCGGAATAGCTGCGCTTGATTGAGTTGGCATAACAAAAATGAAAAAGTGGGAAACAAGCAACGATAATGTACAAGGTGAACTTAGCACAGTGCATAAGCAACTGGCTGAGTCCATGGGATCGTCGGTTCGAAGCCTGCTGAAAGAAGTCTGATGAGGAAATGTGGTGATTTCCGAAATAGCTATCACTTCTACCATTTTTTCTCATTATTGTTGCTTTTCCACAATAAGTTTTTCATTAAAAACGGCCAAATCAAAAATAAATAGGTTTAAAATTATTGGATTCTTTAAATTTCTTTTTAAAGATGTGAAAACAAAGGCAAATAAAGCATTACGAAAAATATTCTTTTGTGCATTTACCTGTGACCTTGACCACAGACGCTACATTTCTCCATGCCAAACTAGTCATGTCTGTTCAACAGTAGTTTTTTTCGGCATGGTTCTATAAACATGTTTTTTTATTAATTCGACTAAAAAAATTGAGGATGATGATTCAGCCTGTGAAACGATCATGCTTATTGCAAAAGATGCCGCGCAATACTAATCTCACCTCGTTCAGAAAACCGTGTCGCACGTGCGATGCGCATGCAATATTATATTGCAGCGGTGTCGCACGTGCGATACGCATGCGATATTATATCGCAGCGGTGTCGCTGTCGTGCTAGTGTGCACAGTTTTCATCGCTTCCTACCAATTCCCACGAGCTCAGCATGCCGATGTCGCATTCATATCGTATCACTTATCGCATCGCATATCGTATCGCTCTAACTCTATGTCTTGTATGCAAAACTTTTTTACAAAGTCAGTAAATTGAGAAAAAGGAGTTGTAAGTTATAGGCAAAAGCCATTCGAACATTGAAATTTATTGGTTTTGTTATTTTATGGCCTTATAACAATTATATTCAACAATTTTTAATGGGCTTGAGGCCGTTTTTAATGAAAAACTTATTGTGGAAAAGCAACCATAATGTGAAAAAATGGTACAAGTGATAGCTATTTCGGAAATCACCACATTTCCTCATCAGACTTCTTTCAGTAGGCTTCGAACCGACGCAATCTGTTCTGTTTTGGGAAAAAAATGGACGAAATCAAATGTCTCCCGATCCAAACCAGATAGAGACATAAGCTAAACGGCAGTATAAAGCCCGAATACTGGTGCATACGGGTAATTTATGGAGGTTCTTCAAAAACAGTTTCTCGACCTTGAATTCCAAGGTCAGAGTTCAACTAAAAATAAGGCGTGAGTACTAGGTACTCATGATTTTTGATGTGTATACATATGCGAACGGCAAAGCATAAAAGTACGTTTACATGTAAATATAATCTCAATCAAAGCTCGGTAGCTGTCAAATTGGTTGTGCTTGTTATTGACACAACTCGAGGAAAAGTTAAACTTCTTCTCTGTGCCACCGTGGTCACTTTTTTTTGCAGCACATATTAGGCCATTTAAATATATATATAACTGAATATTTTATTAAAAATACTTTTACAAACCTATTTTCCTTACTAGCGTAAATTTTTGTTTACTTTAGTATTTGACATTCCTCCTCTTCTTCGCAAGTATAATCAATAAAACTAAGTTGGACACCAAAAAGTTATCGGTTTAATCTGTGATATTTTTAATTATAATTTTGCATGGCTTATCTCTTTTTCTAATAACAGATTAGGGAGTTAAGCTCGAAAATTAGGATAATCTTTTTATATGTAAAGCTAACGGGTGATTTTTTAAGAGCTTGATAACTTTTTTTTTAAAAAAAAACGCATAAAATTTGCAAAATCTCATCGGTTCTTTATTTGAAACGTTAGATTGGTCCATGACATTTACTTTTTGAAGATAATTTCATTTAAATGTTGACCGCGGCTGCGTCTTAGGTGGTCCATTCGGAAAGTCCAATTTTGGGCAACTTTTTCGAGCATTTCGGCCGGAATAGCCCGAATTTCTTCGGAAATGTTGTCTTCCAAAGCTGGAATAGTTGCTGGCTTATTTCTGTAGACTTTAGACTTGACGTAGCCCCACAAAAAATAGTCTAAAGGCGTCAAATCGCATGATCTTGGTGGCCAACTTACCGGTCCATTTCTTGAGATGAATTGTTCTCCGAAGTTTTCCCTCAAAATGGCCATAGAATCGCGAGCTGTGTGGCATGTAGCGCCATCTTGTTGAAACCACATGTCAACCAAGTTCAGTTCTTCCATTTTTGGCAACAAAAAGTTTGTTAGCATCGAACGATAGCGATCGCCATTCACCGTAACGTTGCGTCCAACAGCATCTTTGAAAAAATACGGTCCAATGATTCCACCAGCGTACAAACCACACCAAACAGTGCATTTTTCGGGATGCATGGGCAGTTCTTGAACGGCTTCTGGTTGCTCTTCACTCCAAATGCGGCAATTTTGCTTATTTACGAAGCCATTCAACCAGAAATGAGCCTCATCGCTGAACAAAATTTGTCGATAAAAAAGCGGATTTTCTGCCAACTTTTCTAGGGCCCATTCACTGAAAATTCGACGTTGTGGCAGATCGTTCGGCTTCAGTTCTTGCACGAGCTGTATTTTATACGGTTTTACACCAAGATCTTTGCGTAAAATCTTCCATGTGGTCGAATAACACAAACCCAATTGCTGCGAACGGCGACGAATCGACATTTCACGGTCTTCAGCAACACTCTCAGAAACAGACGCAATATTCTCTTCTGTACGCACTGTACGCATTCGTGTGGTTGGTTCAATGTCCAATAAAGTAAACTGAGTGCGAAACTTGGTCAC